CTGTGGTCCCAGCATGGTCATTAACAGAGTCCCTTTTTGCCCTGCATCCTGGCTTGCACCATAAATCAGATGATCACCCCAGCCATTAGCGTCCATGCATATGGCAGCAATCAGTTGTATTCTTCAGCCAGTCTCAGACAAGATGAGTTATTGTTGTTCCACCTTTGTTTGTCTTTCTTTTTGGTGCCGCATAAGGAAACATGGAAACAGATGATCTCACTGAGTACACAGATCATAGGAGAAAAGCCACAGACAGTTAGTGGTCCCCTGTGGGTCACCATTCATCCTTCTGTAGTGCTAACACTCTTGATGGTAGCTCTTGATGTCAGGAATAGTGATTTATGCAGCTGGGCACTGCCTTATGGGATTACGGCACTGGTGGGAAGGGTTTGGTGGGGGGCTTCTGAGGGATCTTTACCTCCTTTCTTCTCTCTTCCCTTCTATCAACCTCAGGCACCTCACTTTCAGAGAGGCTGCAGTTTCTGTTACACCTTAATCCTAAGGCATGGTGGGGATGGGGAGGATGGAGAGAAAGAGAGGCAGGAAGAGAAACAGATTCTTTTATTTGTTTGTTTTCCAGCTCTATTGATGTATAATTGACCTATAACATTGTATAAGTTTAAGATCTACAACATATTGATTTGAAACATTTATATATTGTAGAATAATTACCACCATAGTGTTAGCTAACACCTCCTTCATGTCATGTAACTGCCATTTCTTTCTTTGAGGTGAGAGTGTTTAAGATCTTTCCATGAGCTTTGAAGTATGTAATGCAGTATTACTAGCTATAATCACAATGCTGTACATTAGATCCCTGGAAGTTATTCATCTTGTAACTGGTAGTTTGTACCTTTAACCACCATCTCTCCACTTCCTCTTACCCCAGCTGGTGGGGACCACCTTTCCAAGTCAGCACTTCTCCACCTTATATCCTCCTTCTCTCTTTTCCTCCCCCAACTCCTTTTTGTTCTTCAAAATGAACTCATTGTATTTCTTTTTGTTGGGTTACTTTCTTTTGTTTATCTGATTTTACCAAGAAGTATATTGCATGTGCCTAAATTAATGTTTTTATTTCGTTCATTCATTTATTATTGATTTAAGCATTCACTCATGAATTGTTTAGTGGGGACTTGAGTGGGTGCTAGAAATTTCAACTTAGAGGCAAAAAGGGAAACTCAAGAAGAGGTGGAATTAAATTGTGAAGTAATGCCCCCTTATCTACAGTAGCCTTTCCCTGAAGCTTGAAGTTCTCATATTACAACTAGCATAATGTTTGTGGTGGGGAGAATCCTCATAAGACTTTTCTGAACTTGATATTGGTTGAATTTGTAAGTGAATGTGTGATGCTCACTGAGTCTGAGATCGCGGCTTAAAATAATGCTCATGTTGGTTGAACCTTTACGCTGCAACTGACCTTTTAAGCCAAACCGTACACCAGTTGCATCATTTCCTCATCCATGTGTTCAGACATTTCTAATGGGCGGGCTGGTTTATCTTCACTTTTATAGCCTGAAGGCAGAAAAAAACCCATAAAAGTAAGGGCATTTAAGATGTTTTATCTGGGTTCAAACAATTAAGATCATTGTAAAATACCTTAGAAAATTAATAAAGTTGAAAGTATGAACTCAGAAATATTCTTGTTGAGTTAAAATGATGCTATTAATTCAAGTGATAACAGTCCATTTATACCGGGTTTTCCTTGTATGTGTATAACCCAAGTTGGCTGATTCATTTTAATTCTGGTGGTTTCCTGGGGTCTTTCTGACTCATCAGATCTAGACAGAATCAAACCTTGTTGCCAGGACTGGGGTTTGTCCAATCCTTGCAAAGAATTTGGTGACTTGTTGGAAGCCTTATTTTTCTCTTCTTACTTCTGGTTCCAAATCTTGCTCTGGCCCCAGCATGCCTGTAACAGCCCTTATATTTAATTTCCACAGAACCTCCTCCCCGAGGCATTTGCATTAGTCGTAGCCCACTTTACTGAAGATTTGGGGAGTGAGAGAGGAATTTACATCACAGTTATAAAGCAAGTTAAAACGGGATACTAGGCGGGCCTGCTCTCCAAAGTCCCTGGTGTTGTGCCACTGGAGCACGAAGTCCCTGTGTGTCACATTGACACTCCTTTCTCTCTTTTTCTTTCTTCTCTTCCTCCTTTCTCCTCTTTCCTCTGTTCCCTCCCTCTCAGGGTATACAATCCACCTTTCCCTACATTTATTTATTTTATTTTTGATGCAGAACAATTAAGATCTCACTGGCTCCAAAAGCCACATAGAGTTCGGTGCCTCTATTTACATCTCAAGCCAGTGGTCCCTTGTGGAGTCCCTTTTGCCTAAATTCTTGGACATGGGCAGACCTGCTCCCTCACTTCTGTTTGGAGGCGAGCGTGGAGGTGGGGAAGAGGAGCACTAAAAGGAGAGGAAAGGGTGAAGCCATGGCTTTGGGCCAGTCAGGGGTGAATCTGGCTTCTCCACTTCCTGGCTGTGTGGCATAGGGCAACTTACTTAACTTTCCTGAGCCTGTTGCCTTGTCTCTAATGTGGGATAACATTACCTCCTTGCAAATTTTATAGGATATCATTGAATATTGTACAAATTGAAGAAAGGATAAAATGGAATAACGCTTCTAAAGCCCCTGGCTCCGTGCAGACACTCAATAAATGTTAGTTTCCTTTCCTTTCAACATAAACACTTTCCTTGAGGGCTACATATGTAAACATGAAGTATTTATAAATTGCATACTTTGGAACAAAGGAAACTTGGAAAGGACTCTTACTTTGGGTTTTTCGATGAGCAAATCAGCATTTGCTTGCCTTTGCTGAGAATCTGAATTTTAATATGTAGTGCTGGGTCTGCTTCTGATGTCTGTGGGCAGTTCTCTGCTTAGTGAGACTTGATTGAACCCAAACTCTCTTTACAGCTTTAGAGAAGTTGTAAGTATTGGGTATTGAAGCTGTGTTTGAGACCACCTAAGTGACTGAGGCCTGGTGCTGTCCGTGAGGTATTACTTCCAGGTGGGCCCATCTGAGCTGAGCAGGTAATGGGGATAGAACACTTGTTAAGGCCTGTGGTTTGGTCTGGTGGCACTCACAGTGCACTCTGAAAATGGGTATTTTACCAGCAGAGAGGACTCGCCATCTGCTTCCCTCTAAAGCAGTACAGAGCATAGCCTCCGACAAATACGTGAAAGTTGTTAATTAGGCTGATTAAACATTGGCTAAGACATCCCATGCAGCTAGATTTTAAATTCTGGGGTTCCAGGGTTTATGTTAGAAACAGTGGCCAGCATGGTATTTTGTGTTCTTAGTGGGCAGAAAAGAATAAATTTAATCAAAAGAGATCTTTTTTTTTTTCCATCACCAGGTCAATTGTCTAGAGGTTTGCCCAATCCAGCCCACAGCCTATTTTTGTACAACCCATGAGCTGTGAATAATTTTCACATAGGTGAGAGGTTGTAAAAAGGAAAGAAAAGAAAAATATTCAATAGAAACCATACATACCCCATAAAGCCTGAAATATTTACTAATTGGCTCTATAAGGAAAAACGTTGCTGATCCCTGGTCTAGGGAGTTTGAAATATCTCAGATCAATGAAGGGAAAATGTAATCATGATGCACTTTTCAGTTGTAATCTGTTTTGTGGCAACCACTGTCTGCCTGTTTTAACAAAGCTTAATTGGCAGTATTTAGGATAAATAGAATCACATTTCAATATTTAATTGTGTCTTGCTAGCTCCACACACAGTAATTCCAACTTTGTCCAGGGAATGGAGTCTGTCTTTGCTGTTCTCGAAGTAGCTTATATGTCTGTCACTTCCCTCCGAAGTCCCCACCTGTCACTTCCTCACCAGAGATGACCTATTTGAAAGCTCTTCCTACCCCTGGCCTGAAAGGGGCTGGCAGGGGCCAGCTCAGGAAAGGCTGCTGAGGAATTTTCCACCTTTTACTGCCCATGCTGAGACTCGTGAAGGATTTTCAGCAGGGAGGGTGTGATCAAAAGCCAATTAAATATACATGATGCACAAGTATGAGCTCATCTGTGGGGCTCCAAGCCCGACTGAGCCTCTGGGAAAAAGCAGGGCCCAGGTGAGACCCTGAATAATGGGCATGTTCTCGAGAGGGCGTAAGGAAAGGCCCAGAGGTATGAGAGGATGTCTTATGCAGTGTCTTGCCTGGGCCTGGAGACTTTTGATAGTAGTTGAGATGGCGTTGTATCATTGGTGTGGCAAGTTTATTGGGACTTCCAAGGTGTATGGAATTCCAAATCTAGTAGCCAGCAAAAAGTCATCGTCACTTATTTTAAAAGGGAGCAGTGTGTGTGTTTGAGGGGAGTGAAATGACAATCATGAAATGGGCTACCATTTGTTAAACCCTGACTCAGTGCTGGGCACTGGGCTAAGGGCATTACGTGGATCTTCTCATTTAATCCTCACAACTCTGTGGGCAAAGGTACTATTATCCTCAGTTTGCAGAAGAGGAAATTCGGGTTTAGAGAGCTTCAAGTAACTTGCCCAAGGTTCTGAAGTTAGTCAAGGGCAGAGCCGTGACTCTCTGACCCAGGAGCCCATGCTCTTAACTCTTGCACTCCTGAAAGAAGCTCCCTGTAAAATATTCTGACAAGACAGAAAGGAGAAGGGTGGAAAGCCACTCAACTCCTCCCTTCTGGAAATGACCACTTAGGGTGAAAGATCCTCTAGAAGGAGAAATCCTTCTTTGTAATGCACTCAACAATATGTGTGCACTTTGCATAAATCATGGCCAGATTGCATAAACCCCGTGCCTGCAAATTCTACCTAAATGGCACCATCCTATACATCCGGGGTTCCCCCCAACTTAAAACTAGTTTCCTAATTTTAGTAAGTGGGTGTGCTGTGTTTCACTTTATGACTGTACCCTCATCCATGTAACCAGACTGCAGCTTCTTGAGGAAGGAATTGATTTGAGATCTTAAACACAAACACCTTTGTTAACCGACTCTCATGGTTTCTTACTCTCTTTGCAGCATGCCCTTGATGCTGACAACGCAGGCGTCAGTCCAATAGGAAACTCTTCCAACAACAGCAGTCACTGGGACCTTGGAAGTGCCTTTTTCTTTGCTGGAACTGTCATCACCACCATAGGTATCGATTCGCTTGCTGTTTTCTCCCCTGCAGGCCGTCCTGAGGAATGGCACTCACTCCACATTTGGTCCTCTTAGACTTCATGGCAGCTTGAGGTTCCAAGGAGCCTTATGAAACCCCGCCAGGTTTACGCAGTAGTTTTAGCAGCTTCAATAAAAGGCAAAGCAGAATGAAGAATTTCTTTGGAAATGAAAGGCTAGGAGACTTTAGTTTTAAAGGACCTCATGAAATGGCTAGAGTGGAAAATCAAAATATGAATTCATCATTTGAACTAACATGGCTTAGTTGAGCTCAAATTCCTTTTAAAAAAATTATGCTTTTTATTAAAATTTTATAGGGAAGAACCAAAATGTCCTACCAAGTTTCATATGAAAACAGCGCTCTGCCTCCTCTTTCCCATGTTCAGCTCCCCTGGGGTAGCCACTTTTGCTCTTTTGAGTAGTCTGATATTCATTTCCAGGTCTTTAAATATCATGCTTGTATTGCCACTTCCTGAATTTCCAATTTTGGAGATTATTTCTTGACTTCCCATTGTGGAAGGTGAGGAATTGCAGTAGTTCCCCCTTGCCTGGAGGATTGGCTCTCCATGTTCTTAGTTACCTGTGGTCAACTGTGGTCTCAGAGCAGGTGATACTCCTTCTCACATATCTTTGGAAGTTTAAGATAGCCTAACACTGTCACAATGCCTACAGCTTTCACCTAGCTTCATCTCATCACACAGGCATTTCATCATCCTACATGGTCACAAGAAGTGTAAGATATTTTGAGAGAGAGAGAGAGAGACCACATTCACATAACTTATAGTATGTTGCTATAATCATCTATTTTATTATAGTTATTGTTGTTTATCTCTTACTGTGCTTAATTTATGAATTAAAGTTTATCATAGATATGTGTGTATAGGAAAAAACATTGTATGTATAGGATTCAGTACTACACATAGTTTCAGGTATCTGCTGAGGGTCTTGGAGTGTATACCCTGTGGATAAGGAGGGGACCACTGTAGTTCTCTTTCCTCCTCCATGTCCCACTGTGGAAGGGATCTCTTCCTGTCCTCCTGTCTTCCCAATATATCTTAATTAGATCAAAAGTGAACATTTGCATTATTTTGACTAGGTAAATGCTCTTCAAAACTGATCACATGGTGATCTATGATTGCTTCTTTCCTGCACCAATTTTTGTCTTATTATATTTGTGTGTGTCTTGTTTTGGATACCTGGGGAGTTTTGCTTTTTAGTTTTATGGGTTGACATTATAATTGTATATGCTAACCTCAGTGTGCTAGCTTTAAGCAGTATCTATCAGTTCCTTATTATGGGTGATGACATCTCTTCTCCCTTTCTTTCTTCCTGCCATGATTTCAGTTGATACGATCCTCCTACAATTTATTTTTAAATTATTAAATATGCTTATGCTTCTCTTAGATGACTCACTCATTTTCAATAACTCTTGGCTCTCAGCTATCACATATAATGAAGTCAGTGACTTTGCTCAGCATCTCAGCTTCTTTCTCTCTTCCACTATCAATTCTTACTCCTTTGATCATTCTGTAACTTCAGCATAAATTACATACATTTATAAAATTTATATTCTGTGCTATTACCCTGACCCTCCCATTTGTTTTGGTTGTAGTTCTACTACAACCAATGCTTTTCTCTAGTCCTTTAGCTGTGGTTTTCCTCATCATTACTTGCTCGGCTGAAACTCATCTTCAAATAGTTGCCTTAAGAATGGCCACTGGGGGCAACAGTCTCTGAGTCCCACGTTGTTAAAAATGATAGCCTTATCCTGGAAGGGCAGTTTGGCTGGGAACAAAATTCTTGACTCACATGTTCTTTTGTAAGCATCTTGTAGGTAATTTTAAGTGTCTTGTAGTAATGTCTGTTCTCTTCTGATGTTTATGCTGCTGTGGAGAAACTTCATGAACCAATTTTTTCCACTTTTATAAATGATATAATCTTTTTGCTAGGCTTCTCAAAAGATTATTTCTTTATTTTTCACCTGTTAACACTATGAGGTTTTATCCCTTTTATTTCTGTAAAGTTTCTTGATTGCTGTCTTTAAGCATTTTCTCTCCTGTATGGTTTTGGTTCTGTTCTTTGGGGATTCCACTACATACATCATCACTTCTTTGCATGTCTATCATTTTTCCTCTACTTCTTTTTACCCCTTAAAATTTGGTTTTCATTTTGTTAACTTTATCCTCTCTATTCCTTTTCTGTGTTTTTCACAGTGCCTATTCTGTGTGTGCTTCACTGATTTTATTTTCATTTTTGTGATCACTGGGGTCTGTTTTCCTTCCTATTTCTTTCCTGAATTCTATTAACTCACATTTCGTCTTCATGTGTTAGCTCACCCATTCTTTCCTGATTTCCTGCATTTGTGTTTTGTGACTTTGCTGTGAAGATTCTTAGAGGTGATTATTTCATAGTTGATCACACTTTTTGTCTGCTTGGGGCAACATTTTTCTTCTGAGTGTTTCTCATTTATTGTTAAGCTTTGCTGCTCTTTTCACTTTTTATTTTTAAATGGAAGCTTTATGTTGATGTTGGGCCAGTTTATTTTTTTAAATACTTGACACTAAACAAACTGGATATCCCTAAACCAGGTATCTGCCAAGTGCTTCCAAGGCCTAGGGAGAGGAGCGCAAGGAGAGGCAGAACACCTTCGAAGCAGTTCATCCAAGACTTTTCTCCTTGCCGCCCAAGACACAGAGTGCTTCCTGAGAATATGGCCTATCTTTGTTGTCTCTGTGTAGTCCTGCCTGTTCTGTTTTTCCTTAGGCTGCAATCCCTCTTCCCCTGCATTCCACACTTGGTGCAAACAAGGCGATCTCTTTTGAAGTTCAAGGTCAGACCCTCACCTTCATAATTGGATTTTTCCTAGCAGTTTCTGAGATTTTCCACTGATAGGCCCTTTCATCTCTCTCTGCGTTTCTTCTCCTTATTTTTTTCCTTATGGCTTCTGTCTAGTTTTAGCTTCTTTTGGTAATCCTTGCACATGTGGTGGACTCTATACATTTTATTTCTTTCCAAGCTCTACTGAAAATGAGCGTTTTCTGTCCCCATACAGAAGTGAAGTCAAAAGGCAATAAGAATTCTCATTCCAAAGAGTGGGAGACACAGCATTAAGGGGCCCCTCTGCCCTCATAGTGGGAGCGTTCCTTCATTACCACCTGTTTATACTCTCTTGGAGGAGCTCCCTCCTCTCTTGCTCTCTGAGGCCCAGCTATGCCTCCCGGGGGGTTATTCCTTCTCCCTTATCCTTCGTGACCACATCTTAAGTGAGTGTTGGAGAGTGTGCCTTGCTTAGAGGATGCACATCTTTGATGATTGACTTCTTACTGGTGCAAGTTTCAGAGGCTAAGGTTTGTTTTATAGGCACAGGTTTTGTTTTTGTTTTTGACTTAGCCTTTAGGACCTGTGTTGTTTCTACATAGGTGCAATTAAGAAAGTTACGTGCAACAAGAAAATCTTGCATAAAAGGGAATTGTCATTCTTTTCTAGAAAGTCTTTCAGTATAATTAGATGACATACTGTGTTTGCACTTAGAAATCTATAAATATATTACGATCAGCTATTACAAATACTAGATGCATACCTTACATTGGTGGTTGAGGGGCTCAGAAGTGCTTCCTTTCAGCTACTCCAGACCAGACTGGATCATATTAGTCTGCAGTTTCAGAGCACTCAGCGAAGGAAGCAGGGTGGCCTGGCACCATTTGGGGTAAGGACAAAAAGTGCTGTGAACTCAACAGCACCTAAGGGCGTCACTGCAGTACATCAGAGATGACCCATTTTTGAGAGGTCCATTTTAGAAGGTGCATTCCACTACCCAGTGTTGGATCTATGAGACATTAGTGTATATGAAAAAGGAGAAGGAAAAAAAAGACAGAGAAAGAAGACTTAATTTGAATACTACCCCAACATTCACTAAAAGGAAAGAAGAAAGACAGGTCATTGGCTCACATGACCTGGTTCATGTACCATGTCCTGGCTGTCTACAAGGCTGCTGCCTCCACGGTGGGAGGCAGGACACTGCATCATACCTATGCGTGGTGGGGGATCTTTCCCAAAAAAGCTGCAGGAAGATGGGTGTCGAATAGGAAGCTACTACCAAACAGGCATACAAACAGAAACAAGTAAGACCCAGCCCAAACCACAAGTCCACTTCTGTATGTTGGCCCCCTGTTACTGCTAGAGATTGGGTCCTTATTTTAGTCAACAGAAAAAACCCACTATTTTCTGTCTCATGCTCTCTCTCAATGAAAAATAATGTTAAGTTGAATACCAGTTAGCTGGCTAAATTTTAACTGTAGAATGGAGGGTCTTTATAAAGTCATACAGTTAGAGAATTCTAAAGAAAACCCTAGTATAATGTTAGTAAGAATAATGAGGTGAGGAAATAATGTCTTTTTCCCACAGTATTTTGTGGCAAATTCATTCACCACATGTGGCAGCAAAAGGCTTATAAGAAAACTCACAGTCCACTGATTTCTCTACTTCTTCTTTCCAGTATTTAGGGGTCAGTCAGTGGAGCGACTAGATCTGAGGAGCTGAGTTTTCATTATCTGTGAACTATGTAAACATTAGCCTGGACTTGAGTTCCAATGCTTTGTGACATAATATTATAAAACATTGTCCCATATTATTGAAGTTTTTTGAAAAACAATCTTAATGGGCTCCACTGGGCGTACTATCCACAACATAATCATATGCTGTTGAAGGCTTACACTGTTTCTACTTCTGTGGTAGTAACATCATAATGGATGTCTTTGTGAGTCAAGTGTAGCCTTCATGTCTGGTTGTGTCCTTGGTAAAATTCCCAAGGAATTGTTGTCTCAGAGGGCATCGACCTTTGAAAGTCTCACCAAAGTGCTTTCCAGGAAGACTCTCAAGAGCCCATGAAGTTATGTACTTTTCAGACACAAAAAATCGATTCATTATTTAGATGTGTGCGGAGAGATTTTAGGAACAGCAGTCTTCTCTGAAAAGCAGCAGTACTACTCAGTAACAGAGGTCCCTTTCATCTGAATGTATCAAAGCACTTCTTTTTTAACAAGATTTCAGGATGGTCACATATACAGAGAGATTTTCAAATGTATAGCAAAAGAGAATATATTCAGGTACTTCTCCAAACCCGGAGCCATGCCAGAAGGAAGACTAATCTGCTCAGTCTTTGGCTGAGGGTGCCCTGCACCCTGGCCCATTTTTAGTAATTAACTCTGATGTGAGAAAGTCCCTCCTGCCTTTGATTGTTGATTCTGTTGGTGGGTCCCCAGCAACTGGCTTTTCTAAGCTGGAGGAATGACACTTGCTTCTGTGGGCAGGTGATTTTCCACAAACCATCACTTGCAGAAGGGCAGGAAATGATGGCATTCTTACAACAGTTATGGGATGCAATTGGATTCTAGTCTTTGAGACATTTTTGGATGGAGCCACCTGACTCTACCCACATCAGAGGACCCCCTGGTCAGGTCCCAGATGGCAGCCAGTAACTCTGTCACTTGCCTGGTGGCCTCATTTAAGAGTTGTACCTGCTAAGATACCTAGGCAACTTTTTCTACTTAACCAGCACTTGAATTGGATGTTTAATGCATGGCTTTGGAAATTGCAGTCATCATGGCAAACATTTACCATTTCCTGCATGCTTACTAGGTGCCACACACATTATTTCATGGGTTCACATTAACTGTTATTAGTGTCACTTTACCAATGAGAAGACTGAGGCCCCAAGATGTTAAGTAACTTGGCCAATATCTCATGGTGAGTAAGCAGGGGAGCCTAGCTTCATTCTCCAGGACCAGGACGTAGTGTGCAAGACTCAGTGGGAAATGAAAATGTGGTCACTTGCTAAAAAATGATTCAAGATATCAAAATGGCAATAGCAGAGCAACAATCAAAGCCTGGAGCCCTTCTAAGTGGGGAGGCCTGCATGCACAGGTTGCACCCCCATAAAACCAGCCCTGCCTGTGCAGTCTGGTTCTACAACACACACTCATAATCAGATACCAGGTCTGAACAGCATGCAACTTGGCAAAGATTTGACTTTGGCACATAAAGAGCAAATGGAAGTGTTACATGTGTGTTACTCAGATGTAAGTCCTATTTGAGCACAGCTTTCTCTTTGTAAGTGGCTTGGAGCTATTTTATAGCCAGGGGTGAAGAGAGCCCTGCCTTGATCCTTCTTATTCATAACAGACTGTCCTTGCTGCCTGGTCATCTGCCAAAAGTTGCCAGAAACTCCTTGGGCTTCCTTTGCTTTTCTTAAAGCCAGGTCTAGGGTGCTGGGCTAGTTCTGACTGCTTCTGTAGTAGCTGTGTCACTCCATCTCATCTCCCTGCCAGAGCTGCCCCTGGCTACCCCAAGAGATACTCACACCCCAAATCTAGCCACGGGCCCGCCCAAGTCATTCACCCAGTCCAGCCCGGGCACGTACATTTTGCCCTTTTCCTGGCATTGTGGGAGAAGAGTGGAGTTTCCAGAGGGAAAGCAGGAACCCACCATCTGCTTTTCCCTGGGGCTTAGTTTTCCTAGAGATGAATTGCTCAGAAATGATTCCTTCGTACAGAAAACTTGGGGCAAGATGATCATTAGTAATATTAACTGTTTACTTTGTGTCCTGCTTCACATGCATTGAATCTGCACAGGTAACTCATAGTTCACATATAACCCATTTCATCTTTAATAGCCGTAAGGTAGCTGCTGTGAATAGCTCCATCTTTCAGAGGAGAAAGTGAGGCAGAAAGCTTAGAAATATTGTCCCAGAGCTGAGAGTTAGTAAGTGAAAGAGTCAGAACAGAAATGCCTGTAGTCTCTAGTTCTAGAAAACACTTAAACCATTACACCTGATTCAAAGTTCTACCAAGGACTCCAGAAGGATGGACAGCAAGTCTAATGGGCCCAGTATCACTAGAAACAAAAATCCAGGAATGTGTCCCTACTATTGCCTCAGAGCAAAGCTCCAAAATATAAGTTCTAGAATTTTCCCAGAGTGACAGAGTTGAGGGTTAAACTGGAACAGTCTTTCCATATAGTTCACTAGAGGCATGAGACACACACACACACACACACACACACACACACACACACAGCACAGCATTATTCAACAATGACGATTACTTATTGTCCAATACAAAGTGATGGCCTTAAATATGTTTAAAGACTTAATTTGAATACTGCTTCACTAATGCTCTTACCTAAGAAATTAGCTTTTATTTTATTTGAGTGTTCTAGTCTGCAGAACCTGGACAAATAAGGGACCAATGGTGCTAATAGTAATGACAGTAATAATACTTTGTCTTGGTATAGTACTTTTCAGTTCACAGATTTTCTCCACACTTTCTGGAACCCCTCCAACCTAGGATTTGGAAGGTTAAGTAAGCCTAAAGGCAACTAGAAAGAAGTGGGTTTGGATCTGGGACATCTGTCTCCGTACTTGCTCATGCTCCTTGGAGGGCTCTGGAATGTTCCCTGAGCACAGTACCTTACCTGGCCGGTAGGTCACATCCTCTCTGAAAGCTGGAGGAAGGGCATGCAGGTCTTGTCAGGGCTTGTAAGATGCATGTTTAGCAGGTTCAAAGCCTCAATGTGTTTTTCTGCATCAATAGTATGTTTCTTTCTGAGATATTCTGACTAAAAGGAAACCTATATCCCCTGACAGTAATTGGGCAATGATGAGACGGTCAAGCAAGAGTCATAAATGCTGCTGTGAGTCACAGTAAACCTACATAAAGTGAAGCTCTACGTAGGCACATTTATTCCCTTTTCAATGTAAATACGATTATTCTTGTAGGTAATGCTTAGAAAAACGATTTTGCCCAAGTTTCTGAAAGCACCTGAAAAAAGTTCCAAGAGCTTTTGTTTTGCACAATTAAACCGAAATGATGAGGAGTAAGTGCAGTGTAAGATTAGGAAGCCTTGCCTGAATACTTTTAAGAAATGGAAACTGTAATTTATGTAATTTGTGATAAGAGGTTTGAATGATTCTGACTTAGAAAATTGAAAAGGAAAATAGCTACATGACTCATCACCCAAAGGTAGAAAGTAGCACTGAGTTCTCTAGGCTTATAGAAGGATGAATCAAGCACTAACCATCTTCATTATTCTTTACTGTGTTGCATTCCCCCAACATGCCAGTAACCATGAACCCAATGCCTCACCCATTGACAGGCCCCAGAGGAGTTACCTGAATATGGGTGAATAGTTGGGTGACTGTCTAGACACGAGTTAGCATAAGATTTAAGTACTTTTGTCATGAAAATGAATATCAAGTAATTTGGACTTTCATCTCTCTATAAATTGTGCTAATGCCATTAGCCTTTTCTCTTCCCGCACTGCTTTCTTTAAGTTCCATCTGTATCATGTGAGCCCAGCACTCACCACACAGAAATTACTGATGTGGTTGCAGAACTCTTAAGAATGCAGATGTTGCTGTTTTCAAAGCACTATTTTCAAATAGGCATTAATGGGCCTGGCTATATAAAAGGATTCTTTTGTATTCAAACTTCCATTCCATCAACAAACATTTATGTAGCACCTGATAGCCCTCCATGTGAGAGGCAGGTGGGAGGGGAGGCAGGACTCAGAGATGATGCAGAGCTCCCAGTGAAGTGGGGCAGAGCTAACCCTCACTGTCAGGGCGGGAAAGGTGCACTGGGTCTTCCTTTCCTGGTTCCACCGTTTGCAGGCTTCCCAGGGCAGGGTTGTGTGATCCACGGGCCAGAGTTTGCGCTAGATGGCACGTCCTCCTGAATGCGGAGCACGCATCCCCCTCCTCAGGCAAACGCTGAAGACAGTCTGTCAGATGGAGCAGATGCTCACAGGACAAGACTGTAAAGGAGGAGGTCTTTTCAAATCTAAATAAGGTGATGGTGATTCCTTCTTAGATGTTCGGGTCTCCCTAAACCAGCTATGTCCATTCTGAGACGGACAGTACTGGTTTCCATCAAAAATGCAATTCTGGGTGACCACGAATCCCCCAATCTGTAATCTCTCTAAATACAATAAGATTCAGGAAACCCGGATCTCCTTAAAATCGCTTCTAAGGAGGGAGGGAAGAAAAGCGATGGAACAACGTCCTGAATTTTATAGGGCCTTTGAAATGAAGTTCTACTCCCCAAAGCTCACGAAGTAGGGAGAATGTAGAAACCCTTTAACAGGTCTGTGGATTCTTCGCTTTGGCTCAGTACTTGAATTTCTCTGCCATCTCACCCCTCTCCCTCTCCCTTCTTTCCCAGGGTATGGGAATATTGCTCCAAGCACCGAAGGAGGCAGAATCTTTTGTATTTTATACGCCATCTTTGGAATCCCCCTCTTTGGCTTCTTACTGGCTGGAATTGGAGACCAACTTGGAACCATCTTTGGGAAGAGCATTGTAAGGGTGGAGAAGAAGGTCTTTCGAGTGAGTACTGCCCCTGTTTAAATCCAAACCTGTGAGATCCAGTTGGATTTAGCCTGGTTTGCTCCAGAAGGAATTACCAGGGTCTTACATCAACTTTAGTGGGATAGTTTAATGTTATGATTGCATTTTCTATTTCAGCTGGTGGGATTGTGGGTACTGTGCTTAAACTCCCTTCTCTTGGGTGGTTTGCTTCTTTAAAGTGGCATTTCTGGAATCACAACACAAGAGTGTTAAGTATAGATTTGCCGACGCAGACTTTATGAAGATGTGGGGCATGCGCAGTTTCTTCTTAAAGATGGAAGATGGGTTCCTAAGTGTATCTGCAGTAAAGCAGAGAAGTACCCGTGCATTTTGTTACTGGATCTCCTTTTTACTTCCAGCCACAGTGTCATCAGACTGATTCTGGTTTCTAAGGCCTTTTTCAGCAGCCTGCCTTTTCCAGACACTGCTTCATGCTTTGTTTTGTTTTCTTGAGGTCCCTCCCTCAGCAACAGTACATGGATCCACTGATTTATACTAAAGTATTGCTGATTGCTATTGTCTTAGTGGGTTTTTTTTCATCTTGAGAATACTTACCTTTAAATAAGGGACACACATCTCAATTTGAGGAATTTCTTTACTTAAGATGGTTTATTTGGCAAATACCAGTGACAGGTATGTGGCATAGATGTGATTGGACTGGGGTTCCCAATGCCCTTAACTGACACCTATTCATATGATTTATAGAACACTTATTTTGCTTAGGTGTAAAGTCATTTCTGTGCCCTTTCTCATTATTGACCTAATTCTCAAGTCTTTCAAATCTTCATTAGGGATTTATTTCTTAATGATGAATTAATATTTAAAAATGACAATTTGACATCTTTTCTGGAATCTAACAAAGATGGGCGAAGACAGATCAGTAGTCAAGTTCTAAAGCTATGCTTGCATTTCCCTCTGAGACAAGAAATTACGACTTAAACTTCTCCCTCCGAGAATGCAGAGGAGCTCCCCAGATGAGCAGTTTCAGTCTTGGTGGAGTGCGGGAAGAAGGCCTTAGTGTAGAGCCACCTTTATAACCTCCACGATCCGGGGTAAGATGTCTCAGCTCGCTTGTTGGCAAAAGGGGATAGATAGAATTCGAATCCACTTTGTAAGGCTTTGGTGATGATTAAATGAAATAATGTGTGGAAAAGAGCTTGGCACGGGACCAGATGTTTGGAGTTCAGAGCCGCTGTGTGTCGGTCTCCTGAAAAAAGTGCTCATTGGCTGTCTAGCCACCCATTCAGATTTCATCTGAGTCGCTCAGTGGCGTGTGGGTTTACCTGGAATGTCCCACAGCCTGTGCCCCCTACGTGCAGGCTGTCCTCATTAGGGCACGTACCTAAGTTCGGTGGTCACCATGGCAACTGCCAGTGCTCAGCTTCTCTGCTTCCCTAAACCAGACATGAAACCCCGTCTCTAAGAGCTGTTATGAACTTCTCAGAGGTGCCCTTTTAGTCATGGCCTTATGGCCCTCAGAGAGACAAAATGAATCTGGTGGACTGAACACTCAGAAGAACAGGACTCAAATGCAGAGATGACTGACCTGGTATTTTTATTTTTATGTAGCTTCTCTAGATCTCAGTTTCTTTATTTGTAGAAAGAAAGGGTTGGACTAAAAGCTTCTGAAATTCCTCTTGAGCAAATTAAAAAAAAATTACTGTATTCTAAATGAGGAAGAGCTGGCGATCATTTTTGCTACATCCGCTACAGAATTTGGGGACTTAGTTTCCCTTAATGAATTTGAAATAACAAGCAGAGAATACTCTAACTCTTCCCCTCAGACCTGCCTCTCAAATGAATGGCTTGCAGCATATTGGGATAGAGCCTTAAAAATCTCACATTTCGTTTTTATGCTGATGACCTATTCAGTTCCTTGCAGCGCCATCAAAGACTAGGAGTCTTTTAGAAAAGGAGACGGCAGTGTATTAAGGAATTGGCAGTACACGATGTATGCATTTGCAGAGCCCTGGAAGATGCTATTGGAAGGGAGGTCTGAGTTCCAGGAGGAAGCACACTTCATGAATATACGAACAGTGGATTCTGGAGCAGGTTTATTGCTAATAAGCTTGTTACTGGAGACGAGTCCTTGGTCTCATTGCAAGAAAAATTCAAGAAACAGATGCAGAAATACTGTTGAACTTTAAGAGTTTATTTGGCAAATAAAGTTTAGATAAAGACAAGAGTGCACATGAGAGTTGGGGTGCATGGGGACAGACCCAGAGGGGGTACAGAGAATAATAGGGAGCCTTTTTTCATATAAAGGGAGATGAATATTCACTAAGTGAGGTTACATGTCAAAGGAGACAGGTGGAGTCTTCCCAGTGTTTGGGCTTGCCCCACCTGCATGACAGGTGAGGGGTTATTCGGCTATATTAGGTCCAAATCGGAACTGGCATGATGTGGGGAGATGTGGTTTTTTTACTATCCAATGACAGAGGGGTGTGATTTTTACTATGGTAATGGATTTTGGGGTGAAGTTTAGGTTAATTTCTCCTCCATGTTGGAACCAGCCAGTATTGGCCAGTCTGTCATTTAGCCTTACTCCACATCCCGAGGGAACAGCTTACACAGAATTTGTGAAATGTAGGGTAGCATCTAGCTGAATGTTAACACTGGTTGAAGTCTTCCTCCCACTTTGCTGCTCAAGTTTGGCCATCTACCTACTACAACAAGCTGATCAGAGAATGTAGCTTTAGCTCTGGTGCCAAAGACATTTGCCACTTTGCTCTTAAATAGAAAGACTTCCCTGTTGTATCAGTTTTCTACTGCTGTGTAACAAATGACCACAAATGAAGAAGCTTAAAACAACACCCATTCATTCTGCCACAGTTCTATAGGTCAGAAGTCTTGGTGGGTCTGGCTGGGCATTGTGCTCGGGATATCTTGAGGCTGAAATTAAGATGTCAGCAGGTCTGGCCTCTGGATCTAGGGAAGAATTTGCTTCCAAACTCGTTCAGATTTTGGCAAAAAGAGCTCCCTGTGGTTGCAGGACTGAGATCCCTGTTTCCTTGCTGGTTGTTAGGTCCGGCCATTCTCAGCTTTAGAAGTTGCCTGTGTTCCTTGGCACATAGCCCCTCCATCTTCAAAGCCTGCATGAAATTCTTCTTGTGTTTGTATCTCTCTTCTCCTGGGGTTGACCACATTGCTGTGATGATCAAAATTAGAATTCTGAAATAGACTCATAAACAAGGGGGTGGGGGATGGGTGACGTAGGTGAAGGGGAAAAATGAGGAAGAATGTTTGATATCTTGATCTGGGTGGTTGCATGAGCATAGAATGACAGAAAATTCATCAAGCTCTACACTAAGATTTGTGGTTTTATTGTATGCACCTAAATAATAGTAATAAAAAAAGTTGGAGCACAGTTGCACATGTGTGATAGAAAGCAGGCTGAGACATCTCTTTGTTAAGCTCTAAAAATATTTGGTGGCATGTGTTTATTAATATCAACATTAAAATTAAATGAAAAATTAAAAAAGTTAGAATTCTGGTAGCAAAGAAGTTGTGGTAAATAAATGACAGCATCTGCCTCAGGTGTCAATCAACTGCTAGCCACACAGACCACTCGTAGGGAGTCTGTTCTTTGTCCCAAAGTTGTAAATCAGGTCGCCTTTGAGATCTTTGAATCAGTCAGGGGAGGTGAGCTGATTTTGTGGTAACAAACAGCTTACTCTTAGCCCTGCTGGGTCTGCTGCTGCCTAAACAACCATGCAGGCTGGGGATGAGGCGGGGCATGCACACTGGCTCTTAAGAGCTTTGGCCTCCAGGCACAGCCCATTGGCTTGAAATAGTCCCATGGTCTCACCTGCTGAAAAGGGGCCTGGATTCACTGTTTGATCTCCAAGCAGGGGTTTCCAGGATGGGAAAATTGATGAGTAGTAGTAATAATGTTATGTACCTACTCCCTGGGACTACCTTTGGCCCCACTCTAGGAAGACAAGCCTCCCTAATGTTTAGATACAGAAGGCCTGTGGATCACTCTTTGGGTAGCACTACTCTAGCGAGACGTATTTCACATCCAAGAAATGGAGCCGATGATTTGTTAAGCTACTTTCCTAGAGCCACACAGTGAGCTGGAGGCACAGCCTGGACTCAATCGTGCCTTAACCTCTTTCAGGTGGGTCAAAAATATTTGCTGTCAGATATATTAATCTATGCCATGAAACCAATGTGGTGCTTAGGATTTTTGAACATGCCATGCAAATTTATGGAGATGATTTATAAGTAAAGTATTGTAAAGTATTTTTACACAAAGTAAAAATATTTCTTCCTAGGTGTCCAGGGGGAAATTTGGGTAGTTAGCAAGGAAGGATAATTATTTGGGATAAGCAAGATTGAGCTTGGGTTCCAAAACAGATTTTGGAAGTGGGCAGCCCCTGTCTCCTGCTGTGGGCTGGCTCTTTGGCTGGGCCAGGCCGACTGTCACTTCATAGGATGCTGTAGGAAAACTGGTCAGATTTTGGACTCAATCCCATTTTCTTGTTCTGAGCTGGGCTTAGGCTTCTGGTAGGAAATAGCTGCCTCTTTTTATCTGGATGATCAGCAAGCTCTCTGATGTTACCTCTATAATCAAAGGATGCCCTTTTCCATCTTTGGCTTCTCCCCCTGAGGATACAGCAGAGAAGCTTATTCATGTTTGGGGCCACAGGAGCCTGGGGTTAGCTGACAAATAATAACATATTACCCTAGGCTTACATGTGCCATGATTTCTTGGGGACTTTAGAGCCTGCCAGATGCTTAAGATGGGGTGATGACAGTCTCAATCTGCTAGTGATATTCAAATGGTGGGGTAAGCAATCACTTTGAATTGCAGGAAGGGGCTGATGGTAGAAGCCAAGGACTTCTGGAGGCCTCTGTGCTGGGCATAAACAGAAGCCAACTTTGAAGACCATAGTTGGCAGGAGGATTCTGTTTCTTACAGGGTATCTTTGAGATAGCCCCCAGCAGCTACAGGGTTAACTTAAAAGAATGGTTAT